GACATACACACAGAGAGACAGACATACAGACAGACACAGAGACAGAGAGCAGAGATGGAGAGACAGAGAAAGACATACACACACACACACACACACACACACACACACAGGAGGTTCAGAGGATGACAGCACCTGGGGAGGGGCCTGTATGAGGCCACGTCACTCCACACATACACAAACTTCGGCTCCTTCAGCCAAGTTTGAACCCACAAGGTCTTCCCACTTGATAGGCCCACGTTAACTTACCAGCCAGAGCATAGCCCCCAGGCATGATGGGGTTGACCTCTCCTCCAGCAACAATGCCCTCTGGGAAGGCAACAGACAGGGCCTCTCCCAAGAGGCGCCCGATGGCAGCTCCTGCCATAGACTCAGAGTGAAGGGGCAGTCAGACTGACCCGACCCCCAGGACCCTCGAACCCTGTCCCATTCTCAGTACCACCCTGGAGACGGATTGTGGGAACCATGGTTACACCCCATGCCTTTGACCCTCCCAGAATCCAGACTCACCAATGATGAATATGGGCATGAAGTACCCAGCAGGCATCGGGATTGTGGTGGCCAGGATCAGCATCCAGAACTGTGCCAGGAATGGAAGAGGGAACCAGAGGGCAACAGGAGTGAGCATGGGAGGGATGGGGCAGAAGTGGAGAGTTCCCAAAGGAAAGGATGCCTTTGCTGGCTCTGCAGCACTGTCTGGGGTTATAGATGACATCAAACAAGTAGCCAAGCCCTACTAAAGCGCCCACTGTGTGCTGGCCACACATTACGTCATCCATTTTCTTGCCCTTAGCCTGCTCTTTGGGTAGAAAAAGTAACTATGCCATCTTTTCATTTTTTAAAAGATGTATGTGCAAGTATATATGTATATATATGTATGTATGTATGTATGTATGTATGTATGTATGTAGAGGTCAGAGGACGAGCTTGAGTGTTATCTTAGAATGGCTGTCCACCTCCTTTGAGACAGAATCTCTCACTCGCCTGGAGTTTACCAACCAGGCTAGAGCCGTAGGGAGCCTCCTGACCCCACCTCTCCATGCTGGGAGTATATGCATGCTACCATGCCCACCTTTTTATGTGGGTGCCGAGGACTGCCGTCATGCCCAGCTCTCTCTGTGGGCGCTGAGGACAGGACTCGTGATTGTGAGGCCAGTGCTTTGTTAACTGAGCCATTGCCTCAGCCCTTCATTGGGCTTCAATGAAGGCTTCAATGAAGCCCTTCATTGCTTCATCGTAAAGATAAGGAAACCGAGTTAAAAGTGAAACAGGAATCTGAGCATGAGGAAGCCAACGTCAGGGAGCACAGCGGGCCGGGCTCAGAGCAGTGGACAGTGTTCCAGTGTCCAGTCTTAGGAAGCCCATCCCCCCAGACCTCTGTACAGAAGGGACCCACCTTCATGACCAGGAAGAAGGCCAGAGTCCCAAAGATGGTGAAGCGTGGGTGGTACCATTCAAACCACAGGTTCTGGGGATCAGGCTCAGCGGGCCAGGGTGGGGACGAGTTCCGGGTCATCAGTGCCCATGAGTTGTTGTCAAACAGAGAGTGCAAATGCTCTGCCATGGACAGCTGGGGCAGAAGCAGGGTAGGTCAGCATGTCTGTCCCCATCTGAGCCGTCACCCCGCGGAGCCTCAACCGGTCTACCTCTTCCCAGCTGAGGACGGCCCTGCCATTGCTGAAATACAACCTCGACATCTGAAAACCACCCCTAGGAGTCTCCCCTGGGGAGTCTGGGGTGGTCCTGTACAGAGAGGAGACTGTAAATGGGGCTCACCACCCACCTCCCTGGCTCAGTGCCCCTTACCCGGGAAGCCATGAAGCGGCCCACACCCGGTGGATAGGTAACAGAGGCCAGGACCAAGGCGACCAGAGCTGCATACGACGGCTTGCTACGAGAGAAAGGGTGTTCCGTTTGCCCCCTCCCCTTCCCCCACAATGTAGGGAGACACCCCAGCCCCCCTAGCAGAGGCAAGCTCACAACCCCAGGGATCCCAATGAGAAAAGAAACTATGGAGAAGGGCAGGGGCAGAAAAACCAACAGAGCCCTCCCGGGAAGAAGGTGGGGAGCCCAGGAGAAGGGGTGAGGTAAGGGGAGGGCAGAGTCAGGGTGTGGGACAGAAGGGGACAGTGAGGACAGACCAGGGTGGATGGAGGTTGGCCTTGCTCGGTCAGGAGGGAGGAAGAGGAACTCCAAGATCAGGGGGAGAGGAGAGGAGACGGGGGATGCTGGGAGAGGTTCCTTGGTGGGACTGGTTTCCGGTAAGTGGGGCATTAGTGAGGAAACCGGACAGGGAGAGTAGGTGTCACACAGACAGGGTCGATAAGACACTGACTCGGGCCTGGGGCTTTCTGTAAGAGGTTGGGAGTTCCCTGCTGCCTTCGCCCACCTGGTAGCCAGCAGTTTGGAGGTGTACCGGTTGGTCTTGATGAAGCGGACAAAAGTGCGCTGGCAGTAGAGGTAAGCGCAGCTCAGGACCCCACAGATGACCCTAGAGGTGTTGGGGAGGGTGAATCCAGGGCGGCCCAGTTCATGCCCGAAGGAGCCCAGCTGGGCTGTCAGGGCCTGAGACCCCACTTACCCCAGAGCCACAAAAAAGAAGAATTCAGGCAGGTCATAGGGCACGTCCACTCGGAATCGGGTCTTGTAGATGGAGGTGATGGTCTCTGGGGGAGGGCAGGAGTGGGGGTCGGAGGTCGCACTCCCCACTCAAAGCATCTCCCAGAGTAATTCATACAACGTGATGCCCTGAGATCTCTGGCTCTACGGGTCCCTGAACCTGGGCCATCACTCAGCCGGCCACAGCTCTTTCCACCCTCAGAACCTCTCTCTCTTTCTTTAAAATCATTTGTTAAAATGATTTATTTGAGTGCTCTATCTGCATTGTACAACTGCATGCCAGAAGAGAGCATCAGATACCAGTACAGACAGATGGTTGTGAGCTACCATGTGGTTTCTGGGAATTGAACTCAGGACCTTTGGAAGAGCATGCAGTGCTCTTAACCACTAAGCCATCTCTCCCGTCCCATAGAATCTATCTCTCAACCCAGCACTGGACCTTTTGTCCACCTATGTGCTTAAGGAGGGAGGTTCTAGCAACTAAGATTCCCCAAGAAAACTCAGCGTCTGACAGGAAGATGCAGTACGGCAGGAATGCTAACTCATCAGACAGAGTCCACACATGCCTGTGTCCTCCCTCTTCTGCAGTTGTGGCCCTTCTGTAGCTCTTCAAAATATGAATTGATTCATTTTTCCATTTCTGTATCTATTGTGTCATTTCCTCTTGAGGCGGGTGAGGGTTTGGCCCCGTTACGGTTCACGTTATGGCTCTGGCAGCAATTTGGCAATCAAGAATAGACCAGGGCATAGCATGACCCATCCATTATGCTTGGAAGGAACAGTTTGTTCAGAGGCAGGAGAGGGAAAACGTCAAGGTCAAAAGCAGTCACTGGGGGGCTGGAGGGATGGCTCAGCGGTTAAGAGCACTGTCTGCTCTTCCAGAGGTCCTGAGTTCAATTCCCAGCAACCACGTGGTGGCTCCCAACCATCTACAATGGGATCTGGTGCCCTCTTCTGGTGTGCAGATGTACATGCAGACAGGGCACTCATACACAAAATAAACAATCTTAAAAACTAAAACCACAGAAGTGGCTTGTAGTGCCCCTCTGAAAGACCCACATGGAGGTTTGTCCAATCATGGTACACATCCTTCTACCCAGAGGAGATTTTCAGTAGCTTCCAGGCTTGACTGCCCTGTGCATTCCCCTCACAGAGGGCAAGGGGCTCTTCCCTTAGCCTGTAGGCTTTAGCTGATCCTGGTGGAATCTACACACTAGCTCAGAGATTGACAGTACAGCACCCCAAGCCCTCAAGATCGAAGACTCAAAAGGGGGAACTGTAGTGAGGAGCATTAGCAGTGAAGATTCCTATAGTTAAATCCCATGCCGGGCTGAAGACGGGCTCCCTTGGAAGCTCTAAACCCGGAGGAAGGACTGTCTGCATGCACGTGTTTCCTGGCTTTTGTTTAACCTTCTCCGCGACACCAAGGTGGAGACAGACAGAGCATTTCTCCAGTGTCACCAAATGCAATAAACAAACTGATTCACACACCTATGGGTGTACACACGTATACATGTATGCACAAGTATGGACACACACACACACACACACACACACACACACACACAGTTTTTCTTTTATTACAGGTAAGCATTCGGACCCCAAACTAAACACCATGGCTAGATGCTCCAGAAACCAAGGTGGGGGAGGAGGAGGAGGAAAAGAGGGAGGGAAGGAAAGAAGGGAAAAGGGAAGGGTGAACGGAGAACGGAGAGGGGAAGGAAGGAGGAGACCATGAGGTGAGGAGTTGTGGAAGAGGGGTGTTGGAGACCGGGTGCCTATCTGGCGCTCACCCTGCTCACTGTTGAAGACCGACAGGAGACGGAACATGAAGGCCCCACAGGTGGCAGCGAAGAAGCCCCTCCAGTAGTTCCAGACGGAGAAGTGAGAGGACATGACCTCGATGCTGAACAGGACACCTAGGGGACACACGGCTCAGGAGGACCCCTTTCATTTTAGCTGCAGGATATGGGGGTCACATTCCCCCTGACCTGCTGTCTGGACAGCTGGAGGCCCTGCTGCCTTGGTCCTTGGCTCAAGCTGAGAAGGCCGGCATGTCCGCCATGCCCACTGATGGCGTAGGACTGTGAGGATTTCCATTTTCCAGCCCAAGAAACCAGGCTCAGAACCACATGAGTTCAAAGGAAGCCTGCAGCCACTGGACAACCCCACCCCTGTCCCCCTGGGTTGGTAGCGCAGAAGGCAGGACTGAAGGTTTCCTTGTCTGGCTCAGGACCCAGCTTGTGTGTCTGTGTTGAGTGGGGGGAATCAAGCTGGGGAGGACAGGACCAGTGCTCCCACAAGGTGGATGAGCTCTTACCGCTGAAGGGGGCTGCGAAGACTGTGGCCACGCCCACTGCTGCTGCTGCCGAGAGCATTTCAATTTCCTTGGCCTTTTTCTGGGGAAAACAGAACCCAGGTTCCAGAACCAGCTCATTTCCCCCTCTAGTCTCACAGGGGCTCTGTCTTGTAGCCCTCACCTCAGATTCCCCGAAGGTCTTGGTGCGCACACGGCCCAGGTAAGCAGAAATCATCACGCTCAGGTGCACAAAGGGGCCCTGGTGGGAGAAAGGCAATGATGCAGGCGGAGGGAGCCTTTTGGAAGCGGTGTCCTCCCTCCCCTGTTCATCCTCCTTCTCTTTCTCCCTAAGGCCCAGGGTAAAGGGAGCCAGAAACCTGGCCCAAAGACAATGTGGCGTCCTCATTCACACCCTTGTCCTAGGCTAACCCCAAACCCCAGGGCTAGCCTGAGATGCATCTTGTCATATTTAGCTGTGCGTCCAGAAGACCCAGCTTCCAGAAGCATGGAGAGACAGGGAGGAAGGCCGGGGGGGGGGGTCTCGCCTTGTCCGTACCACTTTGCCCAGGAAGATGGTACTGCCTGTTGCCAGGGTGCAGGAGAGGCCCGCCACCTTGGCCCCAAAGTTCTTGATGTCTAGGTAATTCTCCAGTACCACACCAGACAGCATGGTCTTCAGCTCTGGGAGTCCAGACCCTGGGGCAAGGGAAAGATAAGGCATACGCTCTTTCTCTCTCCCTCTCTCTCTCAGCAAGGTCTCACTGCGCAGGCCCAGGCTAGCCTGGAACTGGCAGCCACTCTCCTGCTTCTGCTTCCCAAGCACTGCCATTCTGAGCCAGTGCCTCCGTGCCTGGCACAGACTACACAGCCACAATACACACAGCGCTCTCTGGTACCACCCCTGGGACCTCACCCAGAGAGGAAGATTTCATAACCTCAGCTGTCAGGAGAGAGAGCTGAGGGTATGAGTGGGGCCCTGAAGGCAGCAGCGGCAGGGTGGGGACCCCTGGGAATTATCAGGCCATCACCAGAGACACCTGGAAGATCCCCTTAGACCTCGGCTGGAGGTTGCTCTTAGGCCTGGGAGCCCTCCCACTTCCTCAGCCCAGCCCTGACATTATTGGCTGTGCCCGTGTAGGTGGCCAGCCTCTAATCTTTTTTAGTAGCTCAGAGGAGCCTAGGAAAGCCATTTGCTATCCCTCTCCCTGTGTGACCTTGGCTATGTGGCTCAGCTCCTCCAAGCCTGCTTCCTCAGTGCCAATATGGGGTCACTGTTGTCTGTCTCCCTTCTCAGAAGTACTACAGGATGTGTAAAGATTTGGACCCGTAGGGGCTTCAGGACAAGGCAGGCAGGTGGGCCAGGGACCACAACTCACCTCCAGAGAAAGGTGTGATGCTCTGGGAGAAGCCAGAGGAGAAGGACAGAAGGGCCACGGGGTACACAGTCCAGGAGAGATACCGGAGCAGGTGGCCATCGCCAACCTCCCTGTACAGCCACTTGTGCGCTGGAGAAGACCAGCAGTCAGGGAGCCACCCAGAGCCTCTACGGCCCTCAGGGCAGACACAGACCAAGAAGAAGCCCAGAGCCAGCCACCCAGAGAGAGGCGGGTGGTCAGGCCCTAGGTCCACATCTCAGTTTTCCAGTTCCTACTTGAGGGACTTCAGCTAAATGGCTTAACAACCTCAGTTTCCCGTCTATCCAGTAGCCAGTGATGGTGCCTCCCCAAACTCTCCCCAACCCCAGGTCCCTGAAAGACCAAAGGTGGCCTGGTGAGGACTCGATGAGACTGTGGAGCCTCACCATGCAGCCAAGTGTCCAGAAGAAGAGGAGTGCCCGCTGAGCAGACAGCATGGAGGGAGAAAAAGATGGGGGCAGTAACCATGAGTAGAGCCTCCTACAAGCCTTCAGGGTCTCTCCCTCCCTGTGCAAATGAGATGACTGAGGCCCAGAGAGGGGAAGGGACCTTGCCAGGGTCACACAGCTGGTGACATACGAAGCCAGCACCAGCTCCAGGCCTGGCTACACACAGCCCCACCCCAACCTGTCCCACTGCCCCCGGCAGCCCAGCTGGCATCCCAAGCGTGTACAGGAATCCCACAGCCCTGAGCGATGTGCGAGCTGAGGAGGCCTTACCTCTGACCACACGCCCGATAGCGAAGTTCATGGCATAGCTGATCAGAGCCATGAGCACCCCGAGAGCCATCAGGAAGTACCAGTCCTCGCCCACACGGAACAGCCGCTCTTTCAGCCACTCCAAGCCCCCTGGGCAGGACACTGGGGTCAGAGCGCCTTCCCTGGGCAGGGGGCTGCTGAGGCTCTGGGTAGCGACAGTAAGCTAGGGGCACAGATCTGGGGTCTGGGGTGGTGAGCAGGGGCTCTGCCTCATGCAAGGGGCTGAGCAAGGATCTGCAAAGTACTGAAAGTGAAATAGTCACACGGTGGGTGGCAGGAGGGTATTCCTCCACTTCAGCTCATACTGGGGCCTTACAGAAGGCTGGTCAAGGTGGCAGGGGAGAATGGGGGGCCTGCCACTACCCGCCTCACTAACATCTCATCGGCACCTGAGACTTAACAACCATGAAGGGCAGCAAGGACCCAGTGTCGTCCCAGGGTCTACAGACCATCTGCACTTCAGGCCCCTAGCTATGCCCTTGGCTGCTGGCTGCCAGCCCAGCCTGGAAGCTGGCCTTCTCTGTCTATGGACCTCAGACCCTGGGCCTGCGCTCTGCCACTTTCTGGGGTCCCTGCTTTCTCTGGCCCCTAACAGTAAGGATGGTCAGGTTCTAGGCTGGCAGACAAAAGTGAAGAGAATGATCTCAGAGCTAGGGTCAGGGATGCCCCAAGGGGACTTCATGGGCAAGGGGGAAAGGGAGGGGAGCCGGCTCCCACCTCTGATGCCTCGCCGGACGCGTGGACATGGACCCCACAGCTCTTGCAGAGTCACTGGCTTCCCGGAGGAGCCCTCACGCAGGCCCACCAGCTCTTCCATCCTCTGTGATGACGGGTGAACGACTTGTCGGTGACAGCCACTCTGTGCCTGTGTCCCACTTCTAGGTTCTCCCGATACCCCACCTTCGGAACTGAAGGCAGAGCCCCGTGCCCTTGGGTGGGTGGGGGCTGCTGGTGTGTAGGGTGTTATCAGGAAGGTTCAGTGTTCTCTGTGTGCTCTCTCTACAAAGGCTTCTGTTACCTAGGGGGTGCCTGTGCCCTGTAGGTGTGGAGTGGGACTCCTAAATCCCATCCATGTCCAGAAGCAGATGGGGGATGGGGACAGGATCCTACTTCCTTTCAGAAGCTCTTCCCTGCTGGGGCTCCTTGCTGCCTCCCTTCTAGGACTCTAAGCTGCTCAGAGCAGCCCTGAGCTCAGGAATGATCCTGCCACTTGGTCCTCATGGACAGTGCTCATGTCCCATATCCATCCCTCAGATTCCCCAGTACCCTGTATTCCTCAGCCCAGGAAACAAGAAGCCCCAGGCCCAGAAAGAGGTCCTTGGAAAGTGATGGGTTTCTGTCACTGCTCCTGTCTGCACCCTCCCAGTCTGCCCTGATCCTGGCAGGCCCCACCCAAGTTCAAGTCCACAGCTTCCTCAGCCCCCTCAGCCCCTTACCTCTCGGTCCACCCTGCAGAGGTCCTGCCTGGAGCTCCTCTAACACAGCCTCTTTGTTTGCATCACCAGTCACCGGGACAGGTGTGCATTCCACCAATCAACACCCTCCCCCCCTCCCAGGCTCGAGTTTACCGTGATCACTGAGAATGTTCCAGACAAACCAACCAGAACTACCCCAGCCAGCAGAGCACGAAGGACACTGCTTCTGAGGGTGAGGAAGGGGCATCCCACATGGGAGAGCTGGGCAGAGGGGCCCCCATCTGTGTTGCAGGGCTCTGGGGGTTCCTGGGGTCCAGGTCTGAAGTAGGAGCTGAAGAACACGCAGGGCGTGGGCCGTCTCCTCTGCTGTAGCCGAGCCTGGGAGGTGATCTCTTCACTGGGCATTGCAAAGAGATGCAGATCGGAGAGGAGAGGAGCAGCAGGCGATGGTGTCAGAGCACGGAGCAGGGGAGGGGGGTCTTCCTGGGTGCCCCTTCCTGGGAGCTGGGCACGCCCCAAAACAACTCAGAGTTTCCAAGACCCAGGAGGACGGCCAGATACCCTGCCTGAAAGAAATGACGTGGTGGAACGGTGGCTCTTCCTGTTCGAGATCACAGAAGCCATCTGGCACGTTGAAACACACCGGTACCGTCAGCCACTCCGGAGGCTGAGGCAGGGGCATTTCTTGAAGCCCAGAGTTGCAGATCAGTTTGAGCAATACAGCAAGAGGCCATCGCAAAAAACAAACAAACAAACAAACAAATAAATAAATAATAATTTAAAGGTTAGAATAAACTAAGAAGCTGTTTGTTATTATTATTCTTATATCTTTTTAAGGGGCTAGCGAGAGAACATGGGAGGCCGCAGGCAGCCTAGGTTAGGCCTTAAGGTCTGGTTTAGCTGCGTTGCCAGCCCTGAGCTTTTGATACAGCGTCTCACTGTGTAGCCCAGGCTGGTGTCAGACCCCAAATTCTCCTGCTTTTGCTCCCTAAGCACTGGGATTACAGGCGTGGGCACTCTACCCACCAACAGAAAGAGTTTTTAAAATCAGTTGGTGCGGGCTTGGGGGGTGGCGAGGGGAGCTGGAGAAATGGCTCGGTGGTTAGGAGTGTTTGTTGCTCTTGCAGAAGACCCAAATTCCGTTCCTGCAACTGCTTGTAGCTCCAGCTCCAGATCTGAGGACCTCCTCTGCTCCACCCTCACCCCTACCCCTGACACACACGGATACATATCAGGTAGGTTACAACCTCCTGCATGTCCAGGTCCAGAGGATCCTATTCACACACGCGCACACACACTCACACACAATGTACATTTTAACAAATGAATAAGGGTAATGAAAGAACTGAGTCCTGCCTGACGGTTGTCCTCTACCTTCCACGCGTGTGACCCTGGCACACGCGTGTACATACACACATGCACACGAAGGCAAATAGATATCCTTTAAAAATAAATAAATCACTTGTAGCCCAAGAGCACGGAGTGTGTGAAGCCTACAATCCGTGCAGTCATGTCCCCCGGGCCACACCAACGACATTAAAGTGAGAGGCTGGGCATCCACATAGGGGAATCCTGAGGACCGGCCCAGGAGCTCCGCTGAGCATGACGGGAGAGTGGGAGGAGCCTGTGGAAAGTGATGGCAGGGATGGAGGATCCCTGAGGTCCAGAAAGTGCGGCTTCTGTAACCAATGAACAGGAAGTGGGAAGAGGGGCAGATGCCCGCTTCTGAGGAGCCCGGGCAGGTACAGACCTTTACCGTGGACGGAAAATGCCACAGAGACTTACCTACAGGCCTACCTGATTGGAGAACTTTATTTTTAATTGAATTTCCCTCTTCCAAACCTGTACACCTGTAATCCCAGTACTCAGGAGGCAGAGGCAGGAGGATCTCTGTGAGGCTAGCCTGGGCTGCAGAGTTCCAGGATAGCCAAGGCTACACACACAGAAAGCCAAACAAAGACAAAAAATAAACAAAAAAGAATTTCCCCTTTCTCAGATAACTCTAGTTTGTATCAAGTTGATTAAAAACTAACCATTGCTGCTGGGCATGGTAGATCTCTTTGAGTTCCCGGCTACAAAGTGATTTCCAGGACAGCCAGGGCTGTTACACAGAGAAACCCTGTCTCAAAAAGCCAAACCAAACCAAAACAAAATGGAAAAACTAACATCATTATTAAACCATAAACTTTTCTTTCTTATTTAACTCCAAGATCCCATGCTGATATTCCAATACAAAATGTTAGTATATCTTTTTTTTTTTAATCCCATTGTTTAAAAAAAAAATTAAACACTCTAAAAGTTTGGTCTCTATAAAATAACCAATGGGTTCCTGTAAAATCATAAGTAAGTTACATCTTGTTACATGAGGGAAGGACCAGAATACAATCAAATCAAAGTCCAGAAGTATGACTAGCTCCTCTGATGTCTCCGACTCATGGTCTTCTGGACTCCATGGGCTTTGGGCAGCTTCTCTTCTCCAGCTCTGCCACTGTCCTTGACAGGTGTCCCACGGCCCTGGCCCTTGAGTCTCAGTATAATGGGTTCTCCACAGGAGGCTTCACCAATGACCTTCTGGTCTCTCCTTGAGGTCTCTGACCCTGCCACCAAGGCTCAGCTTCTCTCAATGACCTCTTCAATCCTGGGGTGTCAGTTGCAACTGAAGACTCCATTTATGGCCAAGACCCTTCTTCAATGTACCTTTGTCATTAATCAACTGGCTATGAATGCATGGGTTGGCTTCTGGTTTCTCTCCATAGCCCAGCAGTCCACACAGTGTTTTTGTTTGTTTTGGTTTTGGTTTTTCGAGACAGGGTTTCTCTGTAGCCTTGCCTGTCCTGGAGCTCACTCTGTAGACCAGGCTGACCTCGAACTCAGAGATCCACCTGCTTCTGCCTCCCGAGTGCTGGGATTAAAGCCATGTGCCACCACTGCCCAGCCATATGGTCATTTTTATGCTAGAACCATGCAACTTCAGTTGCATGTCTGTCATTTGAGATCAAGTGTTAAAATCCCTTAATCTTTTCATTCTCTGATCAGAATTCCTTTCATTTTGAGGGTCTATTAAACTTTAGAGTATTTTTCCCTCAAAACACAACAACAACAACAAAAACTTTTGCCAGGTGATGGTGGCACACAGCTTTAATCCCAGGACTCAGGAGGCAGAGGCAAGTGGATCTCTGAATTGGAGACCACTCTGTAGCCTAGTCTACAGAGTGAGTTCCAGGATGACCAGGGATAAACAGAGAAACCCTGTACAAACTGGGGGAATTATTACTGTATTTTTAATTGTGTGTGTTCATACTTTTATTTTTGTATGAGGTATACTTTCTTTTTACTTTTTCGACTTTTTGAGACAGGGTTTCTGTGTAGCCTTGGCTGTCCTGGACTCACTTTGTTTTCTTTTTTTTAAGATTTGTTTATTATGTATACAATGTTCTGCCTGCATGTACACCTGCACACCAGAAGAGGGCACCAGATCTCATTATAGATGGTTGGGAGCCACCATGTGGTTGCTGGGAATTGAACTCAGGACCTCTGGAAGAGCAGCCAGTGCTCTTAACCACTGAACCATCTTTCCAGTCCCTTTGTTTTCTTTTTTAATTTAATATCTTTATTTTATGTATATGCACACCAGAAGAGGGAATCAGATCCCATTACAGACTGTTGTGAGCTACCTTGTTGTTGCTGGGAATTGAATCAGGACCTCTGAAAGAGTAGCCAGTGCTCTTAACACTGAGCCATCCTTCCAGTTCCCTTGGACTCACTTTGTACAGCAGGCTGGCCTAGAACTCGCAAAGATCTGCCCGCCTCTGCCTCCTGGCTCTTTATTTTTAATTATGTGTATGCAAGCACAAGTTCCCCTGGAGGCCAAAAGAGGTCATCAGATCCCTTAGAGCTGGCGTTACAGGCAGTTATGACACAGCTGGTTACTGGGACCAAACTCAGATCCTCTGCAGGAGCAGTGAGGGCTCTTAACTCCTGAGCCATCTCCATCCCTGGAGCATCCTTTTCTGTTCTGTGAAAGATGTCATTGGTATTTCAATAGAAAATTGAATCGAATCTATAGATTAGTAATATGGATATTGTGACAAATTAATTCTTTCATCCCATGAATATGGGATGTCTCCATTCAGAGGGTTTCTCTTCAACATCTTTCATTGGTGTTTTCTGATTTCCATCATAAAGATTGCTCCATTCTCTGTGTAACCATGCTGTCCTGGGCCTTGTTCTGTAGAGCAGGCTAGCCTTGAACTCAGATCTACCTGATGTTGCCTGTGGAGCGCTGGGATTAAAGACATGCACCATCATGTCTCAATTTATTTAAAAAAAATATTTTGCTAGCTTTTTCTTTAATTATTATTTGCAGATTCATGAATGTGGTTGGTTTCCCTCTGAATAAGTTTAAGTGTGTTGTATTGTATTAATATTTACTATTGATATATCTTTTAGTTAAGCAGCGGTTAATCCTGAACAGCTGTAAATCAAATCACCACAAAGAGACAGGGATTTATTTAATTAACCTAGAACACAATGCTGGGCAATAGTTACTCCATCCTAAACCTCCAAGCCGAATATTTTCCTGCCATTCAGATTAACCCATTATACTTGCTTTTAGTGATATCTTAGGTCCGGTTCATTTCTCCACGGATTCTCTTCCTCCTCTCTCCTGCTTCCTTCCTCTTCCTCCCATTCCGGACCAGAATGTCCCATCTATCCTCTCCCTTGCTCAGCAATGCGGCTGGTTGTTGTAATTGACAATACAGAGAACAAATGGTGGCATGTTTGCACAAACTTGAGACAGGTGATGCTTAGAATAAACATCACAATGCAATGTCCAGATAGAAACCAGCTAGTGGGGGAGAGAAATCAGCATCTGAATGAACAAGGGTAAATTGTATATGTTCCAAAAGAAAAAAAAACCTGTTTCTTCTTCCTCCTCCTCCTCCTCCTCCTCCTCCTCCTCCTCTTCTTCTTCTTTTTCTTCCTCTTCTTCTTCCTCTTCTTCTTCTTCCTCTTCTTCCTGTTTTCAGTGGAGCAGTACAGGGGACTGAATCCAGGTTCTTAATTATGCTAGACAAGCACTCTACCTCCGTGCCTGCTGTGTATGCAGGCTTCTTTTACTTTTTCATGTCTTCATGTGTGTGCATGGGAGTGTGTCAGTGCGCACACGCATGTGTGGGCAGACATATCAAGTGTCTTCCTCAGTCTCTGTCTTTTTGTGTTTTTTTTTTTTTTTTTTTTTTTTTTGAGACAGAGACTTATTTTTTAGCTCTGGCTGACTGGGATCTCGCTCTGTAGACCAGACTGGCTTGGAACTCACAAAGATCTGCCTGCCTCTATTTCCCAAGTGCTGGGATTATTAAAGTCGTGAGCCACCACTGCTCAGTTTTCATTCCTTTCTTTCTTCCTTCCCTCCTCCCTCCCTTCCTTCCTTCCTTCCTTTCTTCCACTCTCTTTTTTTCTGTTCTCTTTTTTCACCCCCTTTCTGAAACTGGGGTGAGTTGCGGTGGTAGTGGGAATCAGGTCAGAAAGGAAATGAAGGTTGTGGCTTTTCTGAGGACAAAATCACCATGGTCAGGAATGTCCTCTAGGAATAGGACATGGCAGGGTGAGGGGCATGAAAGTGGGTAGGGAATCTAAGTGAAGTGGGGCCACGGAACTTGGGGAGGGCAAGGGCAGGATGTGGGCACAGCCAGGTGAGGTATTCATTGGTTGTGGCAGTGGGGCAGGCACAGGCCTATGGATTATGTGTGGCATTTGAGGTACAGGGCATTCAGTGCTCAGGGGCTTTGAGTAGATATACAGGTTGGGGTACAGCTATGGGGTGGTTTGAGGTATTGGGGTATCCCGGACCTACGTTTATACATTCCCCTGAGCGCTACCTGTGCCCACATTACAAAGCCCACAGGCTATGGCCTCTGGGCAAGTGTCCCACCATGTTGAGCGGAAGGGCTGGAGAACCCAGTGGTCAGGTTGGAGCTGTCTGTTGAGGGGGATGAGCTGAGTGAGGCTGGCTTCGCTGTACCTGAGTTGAGGATGGGGAGGGAGAACGTGGCTCAAGGTTGAAGCTTGGTCCTTAGAGGACATAGACCACTCTGTGTGTGTGATCTGGACAGACCGAACAATTGCAGGATAGAAAAAAGGGGACTCACTGATGACTGTGGTATAGAAGGGCCACGAAGAGAGGAAGCCCTCCCCTCACTCTGCACACCCTTTTCAGTTTTGGTTTGTTAGTTTTTCTTTTTGAGACAGGGTTTCTCTGTGTAGCCTTGGCTGTCCTGGACTTGCTTTGTAAACAAGGCTGGCCTCCAACTCACAGAGCTCTGCCTGCCTCTGCCTCCATGAGTGCTGGGATCACAGGCCTGTGCCCAAGCCTGGCTGAGTGCCCTTAAGAGAGAAGATGGGGGCTGGAGAGATGGCTCAGAGGTTAAGCGCACAGTCTGCTCTTCCAAAGGTCCCGAGTTCAATGCCCAGCAACCACAGGTGGCTTACAAACATTTATAATGAGATCTGGTGTCCTCTTCTGACATGCAGGCAGAACACTGTGTACATAATAAATAAATTTTAAGAAGAGAGAAAGAGAGAGAGAGAAGAGGGGTGAGCAATGGCTCTGTACATCAGTTTTATTTTTCTCGGGAGCTCTTGGTTGTCAGCAGACCCCAGAAGGCGCATGCAACCCCGTTGGTGACAGTATGTACTGTCTTCATTTACTCTCAGGTCCTCCAGGATAGGGAGAGGTTAATGGGGGATGATTCTCTTCTCGGCTGAGCAGAGATGCCTTGCTGAGCCAAGAAACTGAACTGTGCGCCGCTGAGCCCCTGGACGCCAGGCTGCCGACCCCCACGCTGACTCACTTGGGGGTGGGCGGGTTGGTCAGGGTTGAAATTGCTTTCTTCAGCTATGACAGAGAAGCAGAGGGGAGGCAGGAGGAAAGATTAGGAAGGTGAAGACACACCGACTCAGGGGCTTAAATTAAGCACTCGTGGCTCCCTAGGTAAGGTTTAGAGCAGGGAGGGTCCTGTCCCGAGCATAGTTGGGATCAATGAACCCAGAGAGTGGCAGCCTGGCGATGGCGATCCCAGGCCCAGTGGCCATGCTCATCCAGAAACTGGGTTACATCAGAGTCCTATGTGGACCTTGAGCTTTGGCTGGGAGGAATTTGGTGCCCTCACCTCCTCCCCTTTGTCCACCCTCAAGATCACAGTACCTACCTCCACCCAGGACACGGAGCCCACAGCTCTGCCCTGAGACGTCACGAACAGCAACTGAAGGTTCAGCAGCTCAAAGAGGTTGTGTGCCTGGAGGGAGATTGAAAGGAAAGGCAGACACCCCTCTGCCCACATGCCTGGTGAGCAGGTGGCAATGCGCAATCTGACCACTAGGGGTCGCCAGAGTCCACACGTGGAGCTGGATGGAGCCTCTGCTGGAAGGGATCTGGTGATGCACTATTAATTACCCAGCTTCCCCCATCAGGCCCTCACCTCCCACCCCCATTCTCTAACTCTTTACCTCATGCAGGGAGGTCTCTGGGGACAGCTGCAGTGTCACTGGCTGGGTGGGGCAGCCACTAACCAAGATGTCCTGGAGACAGGTCTGGGGATAGGGGGACAGGACGATGGAGACCCGGGCTAGCCACCGGCTTCTAAATCCTGGTCTCTGAACTCCCTCTGAGAGGTTAGCTGTCTCCTCCCTTCACAGAGCAGCTCACCAACCCCACCCTCTCCCCACACCTGGCAGGAGGACACACCTGCTGGCCTGGAGCCCACGAAGCTGACTCAGTCTGAAGGGCTTGCACCAAGTGGGTCCTTTTTACAATGCCTACTAGGATCTGAGACTCTAACAAGCACAGAGGGAAGGGCACATTATAAACACAGAAGTCACATTCACTGAGCACCTACTATGTACCAAGAACACACTGGCTATGCTTGTGTCTGAGGAGACAAACAAGCTTGTATGTGGTCTGCTAGAATCTTTATCACCCAGTTTATGGAAGAGGAAACTGAGGATCTGGTCGGTTAATTGTTGCTCTAAACCATTCACCTTCCATATTGACAAGGCTGCCCCTGGGCCAGTGGACATTCTGGCCTCCATTATAGGAGGCAGAAGCTGGGGACATCAGCCTCTTGGCATCTGGGTGTCATATCTGCTGCCTTTCTCCCCTGTTTTCCTTCCAGCTGTTTAAAATCCGAGTCAGGTCAGCGGAAGAATGAACCCAGAGGTTCACCATAAGCTGAGATCTTGCTGAGCGCTCGGGCTAAGCCAGCCTCAGCAGCCTGGATACATGGAGGGAGTTTACAGACGTCTCGAGGGTTGGTAGGTTTTCCTCGAGGAGGACCTTGTCAGTAAAAAATGGTGTAGCTTCATGGCGGAGAACTTGCTTAGCATACCCCCGAGCCTGGATTCAGTCCCTAGCACGACAGACACAGCACACAACTAGATAACACAGTAAGACTCCCCTCCGTCCTTTCATGAACCGGCTATCCCTTGGGTGGACTGCAGGGATCTGGAGCCAGGTCCTGTCTCCTTGGGAGTTCTGTGGCCCAAACCAATTCCTGGTTCTAGGAGGGGAAGCCTCTTGGCAGGGCCACCCTTATGTGAAATAAGTTTCTGTTGTTGTTTTGAAGTGTTTGCTGTGATCTCTCTCCTAATGCTGAAGTTGTCCCAGCAGTGAAGGCAAAGCTGCTGGCGTTTGGGTGGGAACCTATGGGGGCCACCCCCCCCCATCTTCCACACAAGGACACTGTCGGTCACGGAGCCAGGGAGCCATATCCGCAGTCTCCACAGCCCTTTCTCTTGCTGCTGACTTTATCCTACTGGATGTGGGCATCTAGGTGACCTTGGTCACACACTCTCTCACTGCTCCAGTGGCCTGCCCGAGGGCAAATGGGCACCAGACACCAACAGTGCTGCAGCGGCTGAGTGTGCGCAGAGGGCACACGCAGATGGACAGGTGCCCCAGTGAGGCTCAGACAGCCCCCCCCCCCCCAGCTCATCTTCCCCACTTAGGTACTGTGTGTGCTCTGCGAACCAGAGAGCTTAGATCCCTCCCTAAAACATCTGTCTGTCTTTAAAGGGGTGACTTCCTCTTGGCAAGTGAAAGTTGGGGGGAGGGCAGCACTCAGGGATGCAGGGAGAAAGCTTCTGGCGGACCCCCGTCATGAGTGTTAGCACATGAGGCTTGCTTCCCAGAATCCAAAGAACCAGTCCTGGGCACTCTTACCCTGGGCACCTCTCATCTTTCATTAAGCACGAGTCACCCCACTTCCTCCAGAAGTAAGTGATTATTAGGTTCATTTTCTCCATGAAGAAACCAAAGCTCAGAGAAATCAAGGGACTTGCCCTAGGCCACAGAGCTATCCACCTGCAGAGCTTGGATTAAGGAGCAGATCTAAGGCCCTGTTTGCTCAGGCTGCGCTGACATTCAGGGCCTTAGAAGGAAGCAGGGAGCTCTCCTCCCAGGCAGCCACCTTCTCCTCGCCCACTGCTGAATACCTGTAGTCTCCACCAGGGGGTACTGGGTCACATCTGTGGAGAACACGACCTTGATCACTTCCTCCAGGGGCATGTCCTTGGCTAGCGTGGCGAGGGCGCAGTTCATGAAGTGATCCACAGTCACGGGGAAGGAACTGTGGGCAGAGGGAGGCATCGGTCACAGAAAGGCCATCAGAGCAGGGGAGGGGAAGGGACGGGCCTCTCCCATCTGGTGCTCGCTTCCTGTCAGCCTTGCCTGATAGAGACCCAGCTTCTTCCCCCAGCACATGAGGCTCTGAGGATGCTGAAAACCGAGGGCAGCTGTGTATCAGCCCTATGACCCTACAGTTCAAAGTCAGCTGTCCTGGGGTTTCCCAGGAGTCCCTCCACCTCCCTCACCCCATCACCCCAGGCTGAGGCTCACCCGATCTTGCGGCCGAGGATCCGAGGCAGGTATGGCAGTTTCTTGACAATGATGGTGCCATCGTAGAAAGAGGGCTGGAAGCTCTGAGAGATGGCATTGGCCGCCAGCACTGCCATCAGCACGGGCAGCGCGTGAACAATCTGGCCAGTCAGCTCGAAGGCAAGCAGCGCCGTGGAGATGGTGTGGGTCACCGCCCCCGAGAAGGCCGCAGCACCTGCAGGGACAGGATCACTGTGGGTGACTCAGGCCAGGCTCACCCGGAGGGCGAGGTGGGCATAGCGTGATCATGGTTAGGCTCAGCAGGGCGAAAAGAGCACATACCACAACTGCTGTGGGTGCCTGATCACGGCAAGAGGAAAGGGATACAGAGCAGGGGGAGGAGGGGGAGAAACACAAGAGAAAGAAAGCTGGAAGGCTTGGGGGATGGGAGGGCTCAGGGAGTGGACAGGGCTACTGAGGTGTGGGGGACCCACTGGATGGTTCAGTGATTACTCCATGCACTTCCTTGTTGGAGTCTAACCCCTGAGGTCTGCCCACCAGAGGGTTTAAGATCCTCTCACCTGCCAGAGCGTAGGCCCCAGGCATGATGGGATTGACCTCTCCTCCAGCCACGATGCCCTCTGGGAAGGCGACAGATAGAGCTTCCCCCAAGAGGCGCCCGACAGCAGCTCCTGCCACAGACTCAGGATGAAGGAAACAACCATGCTGACCTGACCCCCAAGGCCCTCAAACCCTGCCCCGTGCCCAGTACCACCTTGGGAGGGAGATGGCATGGGGATGCCACGGCCCCAAAGCTCCTCTCAGACATTCAGGACCCGAGTCTTACCATAGATAAATATGGGCATGAAGTAGCCAGCTGGGATGGGGATGGTGGTCGCAAGAATCAGCATCCAGAACTGTAGGGAGGTTGTACCCACATGGCAGGAGTTAGAACCAACACAGGAAGGCAAGGATACGGGAGGGACGGGAGGTTTCTAGAGAAAAGGGTGCCCAGGCTGGGGCCCATGGCAGCATCTGGCTCTAGAGATGACACCAACCGGGAGACAATAAAGCCTCAATAAAGCACCCACTGTGGGCAGGTGCATGCTAGGTTTGTTCCACTCCTCTCTTTCAGCCTGCCTGTTAAGAAAGAACAACTATTCCCATCTCAAAGAATAAAGAGGGCCAGAGTGTGCGTGCACACACACACACACATACCTATTTTTGTAAGGAATAAGGAAAGTAGGTCATGACTCACCCAGCACCCGGGAGGCTGAGGCAGGGGAGCACACATTCCTAACAAGCCTTGGCTACACAGTGAAACTGCACCTCTCAAATGAAGGAGGAGGAAGAAGAGAGGGGGAAGAATTGGGGCTGGGAGGGCATCTGAGGGCACAGTGGGCCAAGCTCAGCTCAGGGACCTGTGCGTAGGAGGCATGCTCTGGGCTCTGGTTTAGGAAGCTCCACCCGGGACTTGCCACGGCTCTGCCCATACAAGGGACCCACCTTCATGACCAGGAAGAAGATTAGCGTCCCAAAGACAGTCACCTGTGGGTGACACCATTCCCACCACAGGTTCCGGGGGTCAGGCTCTGCTGGCCAGGGAGGGGACGCGTTCTTGGTCATCAGTGCCCAGGAGTTGTTGTCAAACAGAGTCTCCAAGTGCTCTGACATGGACAGCTGGGGCAGAGACAGTGGTAAGATGGTCCGCACACCCACGTCCGTCCCGATGCCCATCTGAGCCACGGCTACTCTACCCTTTCCCTGCTAGGGATCTTAAGGATGGCTCTGCCATTGCTCAGCTACAACCTGGGATCCTGAAAAACTACCTACGGGCATATTCCTTAGTGGGTTTTGAGGGGACTGGGTGAAAGAAAGACACACAGAAGGGACTACAAATGGGGACAACTAGCCACCACCCAGCTCAGTGCCCCTTACCCGGGAAGCCATGAAGCGGCCCGCACTAGGGGGATAGGTGATAGAAGCCAGGACCAGGGCGGCCAGAGCTGAGTACAACGGTTTGCTGTGGGGGAAGGGAAGAGCTCTAGTTACCCAATAGCCTTGGGGTTCACAATGAAGAAAGGACTATGGAGGAGGAAGGACAACAACAGGAAAACTGGCAGATTAACCCCCTCTCTCCATCCCCCCACCTGAGCGCACACCCTCAAAGAAAGAGATGGAGTGAGAACAGGAGACCCAACGTGAGGACAAGGGTGGGGATGAGAGGAGAGTTTGGTACAAAAAGGATCTAGCCAGGTCAAGATGAGGATCAAGATGGGGGAATTGGCTTCCCTGGCCTGGGACATAGTTGGGTATGCAGGAGGCTGAGAGAGGGGAGGAGGCAGGGCTAGGGGAGGGAACTGGATCTAGGGGTCAGAGAGACTCAGTGAGGGGGGCACTGTAAGACTTCACAGGTGACCACAAGTGAGGCGATAGCGCTTTGGAGGGTTAGTGGAAAGAGGGGTTCAATGAAAGGGGTTGGACACTATGGAAGGTTGGATGTGATGCATCCCTGGGGGGGCCCAGCTCACCTGGTGGCCAGCAGTTTGGAGGTGACCCCATTGGCCTTGAGAAAAAATAGGAAAGTTCTCTGGCAGTAGTTGTACACGCAGCCCAGGACACCGCAGATGGCCCTGGAAGCGGAGGAGGCGCTGAGACCCGCACCATGCCCTAGCCTGCTTGAGTGTGGCTTTCAGGGTTTGAGACCCCAACTCACCCCAGGGCGACAAAAAAGAAGATCTCTGGTAAGTCAAAGGGTATGTCCACTGGAAAGCTGGTCTTGTAGATGGAGGTGATGGTCTCTGGGGAAGGGAGGAAGTGGGGATCCAAACCCAGCCTCAGAATAACCCAGGCTAGGGTGGGGATAGCATCACACCTAACCCCAAAACGTCCCTGCTATTCTAGGCACCACGACCTGGCTAATCTCAGCACTGCTTGCCCTTTGCCCCTGCTTGAAACACAGGTCAGACCCCCGTCTGGTCTCCTAGAACATCCGTTCTCCACCTGAGGACTGTGACCCCTTGGGGAGTGGGTCGCATTTCAGATCTGCTTGTCAGATATTTACATGAGGATTTGTAACAGTAGCAAAATTACAGCTATGAAGTAGCCACGAGCTAACTGACTGGTCAAGGGTCACCACAACATGAGGAACTGTAGTAAAGAGCCGCAGCATTAGGAAGGTGGAGAAGCACTGCAGGACAGGGAAGAGGAAGGAGGATCAGAGGGAAGGAAGAGGAAGCCGAAATAGAGAGGGAAAGGAGGGAGGAGAGGAGCAGGAGGGAGGAGTCCCGGAAGTGGGGGGCGGGGGCGGAGACCGGTTGCCTATCTGGCGCTCACCCTGCTCATTGTTGAAGACCGCCAGGAGACGGAACATGAAGGCCCCACAGGTGGCAGCGAAGAAGCCCCTCCAGTAATCCCAGACAGAGAAGTGAGAGGACATGACCTCGATGCTGAACAGGACACCTAGGGGACACAGGGCTCTAGCCCCTGGCGGCGGGACCCAGAGGGCAGGAGGGTGAGGGCGCTCTCACCGCTGACCGGGGCTGCGAAGACCGTGGCCACGCCCACTGCTGCTCCGGCGGCCAGCATTTCCATTTCCTTAGTCTTGTTCTGGGAAAAAAACGGGCATCCTGGGCTTTGCTCTTTACAGCTGTTCCCCAGGGAGCCCCAACCCTGTACCCCTCACCTTAGATTCCCCGATGGTCTTGGTGCGCACACGGCCCAGGAAGGCAGCAATCATCACACTCAGGTGCACGAAGGGACCCTGCAGGGAGAGGCAGTGAGCTTGCTGGAGAAGCTGGACCCTTCCTCTTTCCCCTCTCCTCTACCTCCCCCTCCCTTCCTCTGCCACCTCTCCCTCGTCCTCCTCTTTCTTCTCAGGGTCTTAGGGAAGAGAAGTATAAGCCTTGCCCAGGCATGGCCCAGCATCTCATCCTTGTCCTAACCCTCCACCATCCCAAGATATTTTTCTGTCTCATCTGGGGACCTGGATGTGTTCCCCTGAGACTGGGCTCTCCAAGGCTCTGCTGGCTGTGGTATGGACTACGGAAGGCAGGGCAGGATGACAGGATGGCAGGCCGGCCCTCCATGCCTGTACCACTTTTCCCAGGAAGATGGTACTGCCCGTTGCCAGGGTGCAGGAGAGGCCCGCCACCTTGGCCCCGAAGTTCTTGATGTCTAGATAATCCTCCAGGACCACACCAGACAAGATGGTCTTCACCTCTGGGATCCCGGAGCCTGGTCCAGGTGGGCAGAGAACAGAGGGAGAACGGGTCTGCATTAATTCTTTTTTTTTTTTTTTCGCCCCCAAGACAGGGTTTCTCTGTGCAGCCTTGGTTGTCCTGGACTCGCTTTGTAGCCCAGGCTGGCCTTGAACATACAGAGATCCCCCTGCCTCTGCCTCCCTGAGTGCTGGGATTGCAGGTGTGAGCCACCGAGCCTGGCTGCATCAATTCTTTTATCACCCTGTGTACACAGCACTCTCACTTTCCTATGGAGCCTTTCCTGTGTAGCTGTTTCTTCAGAATTCAAACATTCCCTCCTAGACCAGGAAGAGAGACTGGTTAGGATTCAAGAAAGAAGCTAGCCATGGTGGCACACACGTTTAATCCTAGCAATCAGGAGGCAGAAGCAGGCATATCTCTCTGAGTTTTAGGCTGGCCTGGTGTATGAAGCAAATTGCAGGTCCTATAGAGCTAAATAATAAGACCTTGACTTTTTTTTTCCTTTCAAGAAGTAAGTTCACAAGGCACAGGAAACTCCTCAAACTTACAAGATTTACAAGGTTCCTCCCCCAAGGCTTTATCAGCAGCAACAGCTGCAGGGGAGAGGCAATGTTCTGACAGCAACGGAAGCATCTACAAGGCCCACTTTTCATCACTTGCTACCCACGCTGGGCTGGGCTTTTTGCTGGTGCAGATGCCTGTGTCATCTCTAAGCTCCTGTAACTAACTCATCCCTCCCCCACACTCTGTAAGCCAAATAAACTCATGGTTTCATCAATCCGGACTTGGGTGGAGTCATTGTTTTGGTCCGCTGTTGATTTTCTATGTGGAGAAAGCCACAAAACAGCCTCATCTTCCCTGTGAGGAGGATTCATAACAGCTGCCAGAGGAAGAAACTGGGGATCAGATTACCTTTTTTTGAATCAGGGTTTCTCTGTTGTAGCCTTGGCTATCCTAGAACTCTCTCTCTGTGTAGACCAGGCTGGCCTCAAATTTATAAAGATCCACCTTCTTCTGTCTCCCAAGTGCTGGGATTAACGGCATGAGCCACCACTGCCTGGCCAGGTGTACCTTCAAGATTCCCCCAGACTGTAGCTGGAGGCAGCTCCAGAGGCCTAAGGGATTTGGCCATTGGCTACCGTCCTGAATAGGAACCAATTCTCCTTCCAGGCCCAGAGGAGCCAGGGAAGTCACACAGAGCTGGTGATGATCCTGGTCCCCTTCTCCCCATCTCCCTGAGTAGCTTGGATATATGGTTCGGCTCCTCCAAGCCTGCTTCCCCAGCGGTAACATGGAGTCACTGTTGCCTGTCTCCCTCCTCAGAAGTACTACAGGATGTGTAATGAAGAGCTACAGGATGGGGGCTTCAGGACAGGGCAGGCTGGCTAGAGTCCAGGTGACCATGACTCACCTCCAGAGGATGGCGTGATACTCTGTGAGAAGCCAGAGGAGAAGGACAGAAGGGCCACGGGGTACACAGTCCAGGAGAGATACCGGAGCAGGTGGCTGTCACCAATCTCCCTGTACAGCCACTTGTGCGCTGGAGAAGGCCAGCAGTCAGGGAGCCACCCAGAGCCTCTATGGCCCTCGGGACAGACACCGTGATGTCCACTTATGGACTAGGAAGGAGCCGGAGACCACCCAGTGAATAGGGGACGAGAACACTCTGGCCTCAAGGACCCTTGAGCTGAGAGAAGGACAAGTGTGGCCAAACTCAGATGAGAGAGGCCCCCACCCTCTGTGCAGGTGAGGTGACAGAAGCCCAGCAGGGGACAATGCCTGCCCAGACACATACCGCATGCAAGTCAAGAGCAAAGAAAGGGTCAATTCCAGGCCTGGCTGCTCACAGCCTTGTCCCTACCCCACTGTCCCTCGAAGTCCAGCTGGCATCCCAAGGGTGTACAGGGATGGAATCGCCCTGAGCGACGATGTGCCTGCCCGGGAGGCCTTACCTCTGACCACACGCCCGATAACGAAGTTCATGGCATAGCTGATCAGAGCCATGAGCACCCCGAGAGCCATCAGGAAGTACCAGTCCTCGCCCACACGGAACAACCGCCCTTTCAGCCACTCCAGGCCCCCTGGGCAGGACACTGGGGTCAGGGCTCCTTCCCTGGGGCCTGCTCAGGCTTCTGGGAAAGACAGGCTAGGGACCCCAGGGCCAAAGTCCAAAGTGATGAAGCCGGACTCTACTTCACACAGGAAGATCAAGCATGATTGTGGCAGGTATGTGTGGAGGTACTGAGTACCACGCCTGTGCCCTAAAGAAGGCCTTTGACCTCGCCCCCCCATCTTCTCCCACACTGGGAACTCATGGAGGAATGGCCAGAGGGGGCTGAGCAGATTGGAAAGGCCTGACATTGCAGCTGTAGTCAGCCTTTGAGGAGGGTCTGCATCCTGCTGCACTGGGGGAGGGGTATCCGGCAATACCCCGGGTCACCAGCTGCCAGCCCCACCTGGAAGCGCCCTCTCTCTGGCTGTGGCTCACTCTGCTCACTCTGTGTGCTCACTCTGCCCTCTGGCTACAAAGATAGATGCAAGATGAGCACAGATCCTTCCCTCCTGCCACCCAAGAGACTCTGCAGGTATCATCCGGGAGCGGACAAAAGCAGGAGGTAGATCTGGGGGCTAGGGGCAGAGTCGGTCCGTGGGGACTCCGGGAGGGAGGGGGCCCGCTTCTTACCCTGGATGCTTCTGCGGACGCGCGGACACGGACCCCAGAGCTCTTGCAGAGTCACTGGCTTCCTGGAGGAGCCGTCCCGCAGGGCCACTAGTTCCTCCATGGTTTCCCTGATGACAGACAGGTGGAGGGTTGCTTGGTGAGCCACTGTGCACCTGTGCCCGCTTCTAGAATAGTCCAGTGTACACTGTCCCTTAAGGAAAAGGAAAAGCTGTGTTCTTGCGTGTGTGTGTGTGTGTGTGTGTGTGTGTGTGTGTGTGTACTGTGCGTGAGCATGCGCCCACATGACCCATAGGCATTTGGTGCGCATGGAAGGTTCCTCCGTGTCTTACCGACAAGGTGGTCCTTCTATTGTGTCCTTCCATGTCCGGAAGTCCTAATCAGAACCATCTCCCTCTTCTAACTCCCGCTGCTACCCTCCTGAGACATTTCGCTCTTTTTACTGCTCAGAGTGGTCATTTTGCCCAGGGATGGCCCTGGCCCTGTGGGGTCGCCACGGGCATCTGTGAGGCCCTACGGCCATCTTTCAGCATTCTGTGTTATGTTCCTCGGGGGAATCAGAAGACCCCAAGTCCTGAAGGAGACCCTCAAGGGCAAATCCCTCATGGTCCCATACCCTCCCTCTCCATGTCTGCCCTGGCCCTGGCAGATGCTGCCCAAGTTCCTTCTCAGCACCCAGCTGTCCCTCACCTGTTAGAGCGACCCGCTGAAGCCCCAGCAGGACCTCCTCCAGCACAGTCTCTTTGTTCCGAGCCTCTGTAGGTGTGCCCTCCACCAGTTCCCTCCCCTCCTGCGGTTAAGGGAGCTATTAAGAATGTCCTTGAGAAACTGGTCAGAACTCCCCGACTGACTGACCAGGAAGCTACTGGGGAGCCAGGCGGGGCAGGCTGTCCCACACTAGAAGGCGAGGCAGAGGGACCCTGCCCCAATGCTGTAGGTCCCTGGGGACTCCTGGGGTCTGAGCCTGGGGACGGGAGCCACTGAACACAGGATGGTGAGGGTCTGAGCCTGAGGGCCTGGACTCTCAGCTGGGCCTGGGTTTCAAAGTAGGAGAGGAGAGGGTGGGAGGGGAGGAGACAACAAAAATCACACTGGGTTAGGAGCAATGGGGCCACCATAGCTGGCCCGCAGTGCCCAGAACTGCCCCAATGACTAAGTCCTCCCCAAACCCGGGGACATGGCCCATTATCCTGTTTCAAAGAAATGGCATCGCAGAACCGTGAGGCTTCTTGTCCAAGATCACACAGAGGTGAGCTGACATGGTGACACTTACCAATGTCACGTACCCCAGACCAGCACCACCCAGACCCCAGAGTCTAAGGGCCAGAACCAGGACCCCCACCCTGGTTTGCCGGACACCCAGGCACGCACACTGAGCTCTGGGCTTGCTTTGACAGTCTCATCTTGTTCAGGGGTGGAGAGGAAGGCAAGAATGGTGAGCTGGGAGGGCTGGCGGCAGCCACGGCCTAGCAAGGAGATGGGATTTTCATCTAGCCCCTAAATCTCAGTAAGCTTCCCCTCAACGCCCAGTTTCCTAGGAGCTGTGGCTCTGGCTGACCCCTCTGAGAAAATGTCATGGGGAGAAGACAAAGAAGTGTGTGCGTGTGCTGTGTGCATGTGTGTGTGTTTGTAAATATGTATGTGCGGTGTATGTGTGTATGTTTATGTGTAGAGTATACACGTGTGAGGGCATCTGTGTGTGTTACGTGTACATGTGTGTATTCATACATGTGTGTTTGTAGACATGTGTGTGCATGTGTTTATGTATGTGCATATGTGTATGCATGCATATGTGAGTATGCGTGTATTGGAAGCACTGTTCTACAACTCAGTACAGCCTCTGCACCCTTGTGGTTTAGAGTAATGCCTGGTGGAAGGTCAGAGAAATGTCACCTCAGTTACCCACGGTCACACAGCAGAGGCTGAGCTCAGGCCTAGACTGTCCCATCTCCAAGCTCCTGAGGCTTTAGCAGGGCAATGGACACAATATAAAGGGCGTGTGCTCGGTGGCCCGTTCAGAAGATTGGGGCGCTGGTGATGCAGCTCAGTTAGTACAACGCCTGCCTAGCATGCGAAGTCCCGAGTTCAGTTCCTAACCCACTGTGGTGCCACATGCCTGAAATCCCAGCTCTTGGGGGGTGGAGGCAGGGGAACCAGAAATTCATGGTCATCCTCCACTACATAGCAAATTGGATCGAAACCCAGGCTATATGAGACCCTGTGTCAAGAAGGGGAGGGGAGAGGGGAGAGAGGGAGGGAGGACTGGACAGGAAGGAGGAATGATGGGGCTACAACCAGGATGTAAAGTGAAAAAAATTTAATTTAAAAGTGGGGAAAAAAGAGGAAGAAGAGATAAAAAAAAAAAAAAAAAAAAAAGGGGGGGAAGAAAAAAAAAAAAATCTAGCAAATGGATAATTTCCCCCCCCCCCCCCCCCTTTCAGAGCAGCCACTCTGAAGATCATGGTCCTTTGGTGACTGGTTAAAATCCAAGACTCCTGACTGCCTCTATCCTAGACACTTTAGAACAGGAGCAGGTATGTTTTCTGTGCTGTAGAAGGAGGTGGGAGCCTGTTCTGCCGCCAGAACCACCCTCCCTCACCCACCTGTCAACTGATGCTTAGCTGTTCTGTTGACAACCCAAACATGTCTCTGATCTTGGGCAGCTAGCTGGCACTAGTGTCACAACTGGCCTCACATGCCACACCCTGCCGTGAGCACCAGGGAGCTGAGACAGGGTGTCAGGGCTTTCTACACCCCACCTCCTTCCACTCACACTGCCTTTCCTTCCCCTCTCCTGTGATGTTCCGTGGGCTTTGCAGAGGCCATTTAAGGCCATGGGTTTTTTTGTTGGTTGGTTGGTTTTTTGAGACAGGGTTTCTCTGTGCAGCCCTGGTTTTTCTAGAATTCTTCCTGTGTAGACCAGGCTGTGTAGACTAATCCTGCCTGCCATCTTCCCCTCTCCTTCAAGGTCTTTCTGTTGTGCTTAAGTGCCTGGAGCAGCAGAGGCATCTATTATGTTAGAATCGGTCCGAAGCCAGATTGGATCTGCCACCCAGCTCCTTCCTCATTCACTTCTGTCCTGTGCACCTTGCAGCATGGGCCTGCCTGCCTCTCATTCATCCAAGTCTCCCAGGCCTGAAAATCATCCAGGAGGATGTTCTGTAAACGGATTCCTGACCTGGCCTTCAGGCTGGCTGGGCAGAGAACTGAGGGGAAAGAATTCCTGGTCCTCAGAACTCCAAGTCAGATTTATTATTTGTTTGATTGTTTATTAAATCATCACAATTACTTTAGGCTGGAGAGATGACTCAGGAGTTAAGAGCTTTTGTTCTTACAGAGGACCCCGGTTTGGATTTTAGCCCCTGTAAGAATAAGGTTATTGTGTGATTCAAATGCTAACTTCTGACACACACACCCCCACACCAGTATGGTTGCAATCCTAATTCTGAGAATCTCCTGTCTCAGTGTTGTGTAAACACTGCTTCCCGATTGTCCCCTGAAATGCTAAAAAAGCAGTTTATAGCCAGTCACTGAGCAGGGAAGAGAATACGGCTGGACTTCCTGCCAGCCAGGGGAGGAGGAGTTAGAGGAGGAAGTGGGGGATTCAACCAGGGGACTGAGCCACAGCAGATGTGCAGAGGAGACACCAGGAGAGAGAGCTGGAAAGCTGCAAAGTGCAAGTTCTCAGAGATGTATGCTGGGAGGACACCAGATTAGCTTAGAGGGTTAAGAATAGAGTAATAACTGCTCAGTTATTGTGTTGTGAAGCTTATTACTAAACAGATATAAAAAAGTCAGTTATTTGTGTGATAGCCACATTAAGAGACAAACTGAGAAAGAAACAGTTTTATAAAGTTAACATATGGATAATTCACAACCATTCATAACTCCAGTTCCAGGGGATTCAATATCCTCCTCTGGCCTCCATGAGCACAGAGCATGCACGTGGTTCACATGTATGCATGCAGACAAAACACACACAAAATTTTAATAAATAATAAACTTAATTTTAAAATTAAAAGTTTTATCTTCTTTCTCATCATGTGGGTGCATGAGTGGAATGCGCACAGAAGTCAGAAGAGGGGGTTGCACCGCTGGAACTGGAGCTTTAGGTGGTTATGAGCTGCCTGTTGTGGGTGCTGGGAACCAAGCCCTAGTCCTCTGGACCAGCAGCCAGTGTTCTGAAGTGCTGAGCCATCTCCTCAGCGCTGAGGTTCTTGTGTTTTGAGTCTCATACTTGTGTCGTAGGCACCGAGCTCCCCCTCACCCCACTCTGTGACCCTCTCTCATCCATTCCATTCTCATCTTCTTCACTCCCTCCCTGCTAACTCGCCGCCCTGCTATCTGAATGTCCCTCTTTTATCCAGACCCCGTGCAGACAGCCACAGCTGCTGCGTGTTCACGTTTGTGAGGTCATGCCATACGTACACAGGTGACCGAACGCCACCATCACCACATCCTCCCGCCCCTCCTTCCACTCCCACTGTCCTTCCATCCCCTCTCCTGTGATGTTCCATGCGCTTTGCAGAGGCCATTTAAGGCCATTGGGTTTTTTGTTGGTTGGTTGGTTGGTTGGTTGGTTGGTTGGTTGGTTGGTTGGTTTTTCCGAGATAGGGTTTCTCTGTGCAGCCCTGGCTTTCCTGGAACTCTTCCTGTGTAGACCAGGCTGGCTTCAAACTCACAAAGATCTTCCTACCTCTGCCTCCCCAGTGCTGGGCCAAAAGTGTGTGCTACCATGCCTGGCTTGTTTTAGATTTTTTCAAGCAGGGTCTCTGGAATAATGACCTCCAACTTCCTATGAAGCAGGGACTGGCCTTGAACTCCTGATCCTCCTGGGATGACAGGCATGTGCCACCACACCTAGCTATGGACTGGATCATCCTTGAAACTCATCCTGTCTCTGTGATCTGACAGAGAAGCATGTCTGGTGTCAGAAGAATAACCTTGGTGACCTTTTGAGGTCCTGTCTGGCCACTGAAGCCAGGACTCAATATTTATGTGGATGACTCCTCAGGGATGGGAGGGGGGAAGGAGGGGGAATGGTGGGCGGGTGTGGGGGAGTGAAGAGAGCTGACACCCAGCAGCAGTGACTCAGGCCCTCAG